CTGCTGCACAGTGGGAGCATTCCATTGGAATAGGTGGCCAAAAATATAACCGTTGTATTTATGTGGATATTAAGCCTTAATTAAATAAAATAGATGTTTAAGATAATATTTTTTTTTATTTTTGTGTTTAAACAGGTCAGGTGCATCAACGGGGTGGGAAAATCCACTTTTTTTTATTTGTGATACTTTCGGACATTATTTAAATAATGGATAATTTTCCAATGCTTCATTTTACAATGCTGTTCATGCTCAAGTCAAATTATGTTTTGCAAAAAATTGTGGTGAGAGAAACTCAGGATCAAAAATACCCTAAAAAGTTAGCCCCCTCCCCCCTCCCCCCTCCCCCTCACCAAAAAAAAAAAAAAAAAGCAATAATAATATTAATAATAATAGTAATGAGGAAAATGAGTCTAAAAAAAGATTTTTGCTGCTATCTGATACTAAATTTAAAATCATTGAAAGGTTTTAAATTGCATTGAATAATCTTTTATTCTCTGTAAGTTATGATTATGTTATGAGGGTGTAAGTTATTATTATGTTATGAGGGTGTAAGTTATGATTATGTTATGAGGGTGTAAGTTATGATTATGTTATGAGGGTGTAAGTTATGATTATGTTATGAGGTTGAAAACCTCATTATAGTTTTTTATAAATTTAAAGGGACTACCAAGTCCCGAGACATGTTGTTTTCATATTAAAAAGAATGTTAAAAAAAAACGTCTGAGCAAATTTTTTTTGATTAAAACTAATTAATAAATGTATACCAAGAAAAACAAATCTTGTTGTTTTAGTCGAAGCTCGTCTTCTCGGTTTTCTCTGGTATTTTGAGTATGTAAAAAAAACATGATTTTCCAGGCGCATTATACGGACTTGATAATTTATTCAAGCGTGTTTAATTCATAGGAGTTTTAGTGTATAATGTCATAGATTTTTTTTTTGTTTGTTTAAAACACCGATTGTTATTTTTTACAATTTCCATATCATATTCATTTTTATTATATTTTAAAGTTCTAAAATGTGTTTGTAAAACAAAATTAAAAACAAAATAAAATTAAAAACAAAATAAAATTAAAAACAAAATAAATAAAATAAAAATTAAAAACAAAAATAAAATAAAAACAAAATAGTATTTTATTTGCGCAACTTTTTTTAAATAATCGTCTAGACCATTTGTATTTTGATTTCTTTTGTTATAAGTTTTTCTTTTAAAATATTAGATAAAATAATTTTTAACCTAAATAATAATGCACTTTATTTGTTAACGCATTTTTTCTCTGATTTTCATAAATGTATTTTTTGGTATTGAGGTGATCTTATTTCATTATTTATATTTCCATTATTATAACATCCAATATATATTATGGCCGGGGTCTTAAAAATTAAAAACTTAATATATATTAATTTTTATTTTACAGACATACATGGAAACATAATTAACTTGAATGTTCTTAAAACATCTTGCGGAAGAATAAAGAGAATGTTCCCAAACACTAAAAACCCGCCAAGTTTGTGAACAAACTAATTCTATTGATTCAAAAAACACGCTGACTAAACGAAATAAAGTTCTAGAGTATTCTGTTGAAATGTTTTAGAAATTGTATTATTTACGATTTGTTGCGTTTTGAGATATCTAGCAGAAATTTTTTTAAGAATATATTATCAAATGAACTATTACTTTAATATTATGGCTCGTTCTCGGAGCCACATCTGTAAAGCCGTAAATCTTTTAAACTATTATCATTTGTTTACAAAAATAAATGTTTTATAATATATATTTTTTAAGTTATCAAAATTTTGAAAGTTAATTACAAATTATATATTTTATTAGTATATTCTTAATTTTTATATCTTTTCTCAGTGCTTGGTTTAATTAATTGTTCTTTAGATTTGTAAAAAACTAACAAACAATTAATAAAATAAACTTTTAATAAAATAAGTAACTATAGTTAGCTATTTGAAATTTTTAAAGAATTTCTAGAATGTTTCCAATGATGTCATACACTAAAACTCCTATGAATTAAACGCGCTTGAATAAATTATTAAGTCTGTATAATGCGCCTGGAAAATCACGTTTATTTTACAAAATAAGTACCACAGAAAACAGAGAAGACAAGCTTCGACTAAAACAACTAGATTTGTTTTTCTTGGTATACATTTATTAATTAGTTTTAATCAAAAAAAATTTGCTCAGACGTTTTTTTTTAATTCTCTTTAATATGAACACAACATGTCTCGGGACTTGGTAGTCCCTTTAATAGATTGTTAAATGAGGATTAAATTCTGTCATTTTAATTCTACTAAACATATAATAAATAATAATAAAAATAAAATAAAAATTAACTAATAATAAAAAAAAAAATTAACAAATAATCTTTTGGGATATACTTGTTTCCAAACGCCAGTGATTAAAACCGAATCACTGCATTTTTTAGAATATTTTATTTAGTATTTTTTATGTATTCAATAAATTTATATAGCAGACAAACAAATGTAAATTTATACATTCTACAGATTATACAGTTTAGAACTTTATTCTTCTACATCTATATCTAATTCTAGATTTTCGTCAATGTTGTCAACATTTAAATATCCAAATTTATTATCCAAATGTGTTAGAATTTCCTTTTCCTGTAGTTTCACAAGCCTCTTGGATGTGTGATCCATAAGATCCTGTAGTTTAACTTTGGCCTTTGTTTCAGTAAGGATGTTTTTAAAGGTGATGTTTTAATAATGGATGTTTTTAAAGGTGAGCACTCGTTTTTTAATTCAGAAATTACTCGATAAGATGGAAATCTGTATGGTGCTTCTTTATGAGTATTTTCATAAGCACTTTTTGAAAGTTTGTTATCTAAAAAATATGCAAAAGCTTTTTCAGACGTAATTTTCTCTTGCAACGTGGTTAGCTGAGTGTAAAGAAGTAATGATTCATGTCGCCTCTTTGTAATGACACTAAGTAACTTGACTAAATTAAAGTCATGTTTAATAAATGCTATTCTTTGCGCCACTAACAAAAATTTTTCGATGGATTCCTTTTTTGAATCAAATGATAAATTTGCTATCAATCGTCTTTTGGTGCAAGAACTCGATTCATTGAACTCTTTTGTAGGTCGACCTCTTTTTGCTGATTCATTTATTAAACCTTCGTGATTACCTGGTGGTTCAATTAAATCATTTGTTTTAAAAACTGAATTAAGCCAAACCTGATTTCTACTATCAAATATTTCTTTTTTTCATTATGATCCATGCCATAGTGCAACATATTTTGCAAGAGTTAGTTTTAATCTCTTTCTTAATAAATTTATTTTGTCTTCTCTGACTTGAATCCTAGTAATGATGTATTCAAACCCACTATTTATATTATCAAAAGTATTTTTTGAAACCTAAAAACATTGCACAACTTGTCTTAAATTGATTTCCTCCATTATCTTAGTTTTCAACAATAAACTTACAAAGTTAAAAGAAACTTTTAACATTTAGAAATTCATGTGGTTTTTGGTCGATAAGTGGGACATTAAAAATGCACTTTAAAATTATTTTTTTTAATTAATTATGTATTTTAAAATCAGTTAATATAAAAAATAACTTTTAAACACAGTTAATATAAAAAAAATAACCTTTTTTCTTTCAATAACAACACGAAAACAAATTTAGTTTAGTCTTTCATGCCTTTAAGTAGTTTTTTTTTTTACTTTTAAAAATGAATGAAAAAATTGTTTATATTCAAAGTTTTTTATTTTCTTAAAAAAAACATATTTTTCAAAATTTGTTTGCGCTCAAGATCCTGGATGATCTCCGCCACATTTCTCAGGGTAGTTAGTAGACAATATAGACTAAAAAATATCAAAATATGGAAAAGGTACAAAGTGGAACAATTTTTTAATTCTTCATCAGAGTTAAAATTTAGCACTTTTGTAATGAATTTTTTACTTTCAACAATAAAAATTGTAGTACCAACTTTTTAAAAGAAATATTTTATTATTTTTAATATTCTATAATATAACCTTTCTAATTATGTACATATTTTTAATTTTTCAATGATCTATATATTACAAAAATAATTATTACTGAAAGCCAGCGTCTTAAGAATTTTTATCGAAAATTCATCAAAAACCTAACTTCAAGAAGCCACTACCATTGAACCTGTCACATTTAGAAGTTCATAAATTGGAAATTTCTTAGTGAAGGTATTAGTAACAAAACCCACTATCAGACATAATGTTTGAAGTAAGTCACTTTTTTGATTTTTGGCCATGTGATTTCCCACTGTGTGCTGATGATGAACCATATTCAAATGTTCATTAATTTTTTTTTTAATGTACCTTCAATTAAAATAAAATTTTTTTAATGTACCTTCAATTAAAATAAATATAATTTTCATTTTCTAAAATGAAATTATATTTATTTTAATTGAAGGTTTATATTTATTTTAATTGAAGTTTATATTTATTTTAATTGAAGGTTATATTTATTTTAATTAAAGGTTATATTTATTTTAATTGAAGAAAATTATATTTATTTTAATTTAAAATCTCCCATTATTAAATGAACTATATAAATTTGTTTAGTGTCTTTGGTGGAAAAGCTAATCTAAGTACTTTTAGCGCCAAAATTGAGGACTCAAGTACTATTGTTCCATAAAACTATCATTTTTATTTTTGTCTAGTTTAAAAAAGGGGCATAAGTACATTTTTAGATGTTGCAGTATATCCAATACACAGGGTTTTACCATATTATAAAAAATTACCAATTAGTTTGATTTCCTCAAAATGTAACAAAATGCATTTTTAGTACTAAGGTCTTCACTTAATTCCACAAATACTTTTTCTTGTTTTTTTTGGAGCAACAGCTATTTTTTAATTTTTTTTGGCAAAATGGGTTAAGAAAACTTTTAACCTATGGACGAAATTGGTTAATAAAATTTGACCAGTTAGAAAGTTATTAATTGACAGGTTGATTGTTAATTTTATTTTATTAATTTTTTTAATTTTTTTAAATTTCAGATGAAGACTTAAGTGATTCTATTTATGAATGTATGATGTATCGTTTAAAAGATAAATTACCATCTATTCGTATACAAGCTGTTTTGGCCCTGAATCGTCTGCAAGATCCTGAAGATGAACAGTGCCCTGTTATTGATGCTTTTTTACACTCCATGAATACTGATACTAATGCTGATGTTCGTAAAACAGTCCTAATGAATATAGCACTTTCAAGAAAAACGCTACCTCATCTAATAGGTATGATTATCATTTATTTTACATTATATTGTTTTACAATTTTTTCTACATAGCATTGATAGTTTTTAAAAGTTTAAAATTTGAAAGTTTAATTTTCTTTTAGCTATAAAAAAATAAAAAAAGTAAAAAGTATTTATTTATATAGAAAGCATATTTTGTTAAATGTTCTAAATTTTTAATTTATTTAGAAATATTTCAACTTAATAAATTTCTTTAAGTATTTCCTTTGAATCCATTTAATTTAGTTTTCCACATTTTCTAGAAGTTCTTTGTTCAAAAAAAAACATTTTCTAGATATCATCAAAAAAAACAACCAACAAAAATTCAAAAACCGTCTACATTTTCTAGAAGTTGTTCGTCATTCTTACATAAGTTGCTTAATTAAAAAAATACAAATGCAAATTGTCAATAAAACACATGGCTATTCATGTTCATATTTAACAGATTTTTTTCTTAGATATACAAGTATTAAATTTTAAATTGATGTTGTATAGAACATTTAAATTTTTATTTTTAATTTAAGTGTTTTTAAAATTTAATATCATTAAGAAATATAAAAATTTATTTTGTTATATGATCAAGTCTAAAATTATCAGTTTTAAAAGTGAAGCTCACAGGGTTTGTACTGTACCTGGAAAACCTGGAAAGTTAATTAATTTTGGTTAAAGTCATGGAAAACCTGGAAAAGTCAGGTATTTTTTTTTCAATCAGGTAGTCAGGGAAAAGTCAAGGAATTCTGATTGAGAAGTTACTCATTTTACTATTAAGCTTTTATATTTTTGTTAGTGCACCCATTAATTTATTTTGACAATTAAAAATTTAATGGGTTAATTTATGGGTTTACATGGTGAATTATATTGTCAAAGCTCAGAAAAAATGATGCAGCAATTTTGAAGGATATTAAAGAATTTAAAATTCACTTCATTCGTATTTTGATTTCAGTTGCTGAAAAGTTATTTAAAAGATGTCTGCCTGATTCTGTGGTTGTTTATCATGTAAACAACCACAGAATGTACTTGTTTGCTGCCAAATTTTTATGCTCAGATCAAATGAAAACATTGCATCATCTTATCTCACTTGAAATATTAACTGCTTCTTATTCCAACAAAGTTATCAACTTGTTCTCAAAGTTTATGTCATCAGAATTTGAAATGAATCATGGGATGTTTTCATTAGAATTTGAAATGAATCATGGGATGTTTTCATTAGCTATGATCAAAATAAATGTTTTGATAATTTTTACTTCAAAGACATTGACATAAAAAAGTATCTGGAGTTGTCATCTGTCATTAAATAGGTTCTGACTCTGAGTCATGGATGGGCATTGGTTGAATGGGGGTTTAGCCAAAATATCATTGGTGTTAAAAAAAGAGTTTGTCTTAAGTTTGGAATAAACCAAAGAACAATACAATATATCATTGGTTAGCTAGGCGAATGCTTTAAAAAGGAGGAGAAAAGTGGGGAGAAAATGAAAATGTTGCTAGGTTGCAGGGAACATTATTGCTGAGGAAAAAGAGAAAGAAACTGAATTAACAATTGTTGCTTTTTGACAATTTGTTTGTTGATATTAAATATTATTTATGTTGATATTTATGCAAATATAGCTAGTTGAAAAGTTTCAATTATTTTTTGTCTAATAAAAGATTTTGCTTAAAAGTTCTTTGTGTTTAATGGATCACATATGATGAAGCAGACCTTTTTAAATTATTTTCTTTAGAAGGATTATATTAAAAGCTATTTGAAAACTTGTCAAGGTTTAATACATCTATTATGACTTTTGTATTGGAACTTTAAACAAGTTTAACCAGATAATTGCTTTTCACAATTACCTTTCTAAACAGACTATGCATCAGTTTCTATTTCTAGGCCTTGTTTCAGCTTGTTTAAACAACATCTGTTTAATTTTTTGCATTTTCAGTTGATAATACTTTTAATTAAAAGAACTAGATCATGTGCAATTTTTCTAAATTTTTTAGTCTGACTATCAATGCTCAAAATATTTTTATAATGTTTCTAAGCTATGTTTTGTTATGCTGAGCTATTTTTATCTGAAGATATTGTTGGATTAGCAAAGGTACAATTAGTGGTAACAAGCGACTAACCTAAAGTAGCCTTTATTATAGACCAACTATTGCATAAGATGTTGAAAGATATTTGTGTTTTCATACAACTTTATATTTACATTGATATTTCAGTTAATTTTTGTGTTAGTGAGAGATGATTTAAAAATATTTTATGTGCATAATTTTTAGTTTTTTCTATAGTTCATCTGAAACTTATGTTTTTCTGAAACTTATATTTTTCTTAGTGTTTATTCATAGTCATCCTAAGTAATAAGTTTCATTGTAACATGTATTATAAGATTCATACTAATATCTAACTTAACTAATAACTAATTTTCAATAGTTTTGTCTTTCATAACAATTTTTGCTTAAAAAATTTAAAAAAAAATTTTTTTAGGGGTAGCTTAAGACCTTTAAATTTCAGACGGGTCCCTATAATTATTAAAACAAAAGTTCTTCAAAAGTATATCATGTTGGGTCTCTAAAGAAGCAATAAAGTTTTAAAAATAATCATTTTATAAAAAATATTGAGAAAAAAAATTATAATATAGAATTTTTTCAAAAAACATATTTTTAGTTTTTAGTTTAAAAATGTCATTTTCTAGGCAGTGAAATCTAAAATAATATTTTTTTTCTAAAATGATAATTATTTTTGAAGTTTTTATATAATTTCACTTCTTTTGAGACCCAATATGATTAACTTTTGAAGAACAATTTTTTTGATAATCATGAGAATCTGTCTGATGCTTAAGGGTCTTGAGTGACCCTTAAAAATATATATATTTTTTAAAATATTTTATTTCTAGTTTTATTTTGTTATATAGAACACATTAAAAGGGGGAGAACAGACATTTTAAAAAAATGTTGTTTTAAGGACAACCCTAATGGTCAAGGAAATTCATCTGATTTTTTAAAAAAGTCAGGGAATAGTCATGGAAAAGTTAGGGAATTGCATATAAATTATTTATTTCCAAACAAAGAAACAAGGTTGGTGATTTTTTGCTAACCTCAAACACTTTTGGGTCAGTAGTAAGGTTGGCATCGCTGAATGCCAACCCTAATTCCGAAGGCTGTATATATATATATATATATATATATATATATATATATATATATATATATATATATATATATATATATATATATATATTGTATAAATATAAATTCCATGGGCTGTTTTTAGATATAATTCCGAGGGCTATATATATATATATATATATATATATATATATATATATATATATATATATATATATATATATATACATAAGGAACAGTCACTGAAAAAAGATGAGACTTAATTGAATGACAAGTAACATGAGAATGAATTTTTGTAGATGGCACAAGAGATGCTAGGTTTTTAGAGCAGTGCCCATTATAGTATTTATAGAAAAGAGAAAGAGAAGTAACATTACAACGATGTGATAATGGTTAGAGGTTGGCTTCAAGAACAGGTCCAACTATGTTTACAATGCATTTTTGCACCTTGTCTTAAAGAGAAAGGCCATCATTAGAAGATCTGCCCCAGATTACACAACTGTATTCCACACAAGGCCGGATTTGAGCTGTATAGAGATAAAGAATATAATCTGGAATAAGAAAGTGTCGAGCTCGATAAAGAGGTCTTAGTGGATGCTAATTTTGCAACGGGTTTGATAAATGGTTTCCAAGAAAGATCAGAAGTAAGAGTTAATTCTAGAAGATAAAGGGTAGATGACTCATCGAGTACATTACCGTTCGTAAATATAGGAAGATCTAAATTATTGTCATAATGATTGGCTGAAAAAAATTGAGTTTTATCTGAATTAAAGTTCACCAGCCACTGTGAGCCCTATGCTGTAGTAGAAGTGAGATCCTTTTCAAGCTCAAATGCCCCTTCCAAGCAATCAGAGAGTGTTGGCTTCTTGACAAGAATAAATGGTAGTATCATCAGCAAACAATGCCACCTTAGATTTAAGAATATCTGGAAAATTGTTAATGTAAATTAAAAAGAGTATGGGGTCAAGGAACCTTGTGGAACCTTGAACCTTGAGGAACCCCTGTAATTTCAGAATAAGAATAAGAGTGCTGTCCAGATACACCATAAGAAGAAAGCTTATGGACCAGCATGCCTAACTTTATCAAAAGATTTAATAATGTCAAGAGCAATGGCCTCAACCTTTATCTAATGTATGATATAACCTATGAGTTATTACTGTTAGCAAATAAGCTGTAGAACAAGAAGATCGAAATCCATATTGATGGTAAGAGAGTAAGTTATTAAATTCAAGATAAGAGATTAAGTGTTTCTTAATTAAAGATTCAAAAGCCTTGCTTGTGATAGGAAGAAGATTAATTGGACGGTAGTTAGGCGAATCAGATTACTCTTGAGAATTTTTGAAAAAAATTCTGGAGAACAATCTGATTCGCTAATTTGGGCGAATCTGATTTTTAATTTGGGCGGTCCCCAACTCGGTCAACGCTATTAAAAATGGTCTAGAATAGTCCCTGACATATATATATATATATATATATATATATATATATATATATATATATATATATATATATATGAATATATATATATATATATATATATATATATATATATATATATATATATATGTATATATATATATATATATATATATATATACATATATACATATATACATATATACATATATACATATATACATATATACATATATATATATATATATATATATATATATATATATATATATATATATATATATATATATATATATACATATATACATATATACATATATACATATATACATATATACATATATACATATATACATATATACATATATATATATATATATATATATATATATATATATATATATATATATATATATATATATATATATATATATATATATGTATATATATATATATGTATATATATATATATGTATATATGTG